AAACCAGCTACACTCCAAGGAAACATCCATCCACGGTATAACCTCAGGCAGGGGAGGAAGATGAGAACACCAAGCCTGGAGACAGAGCAATACCAGAAGAGCAAACAGGAGAAGACACAACAGCAATGCTCAGTGGCTAATGGATCTAATAGCAGACCACAGCAACCTTCCTATGCAGGGTCCCGTAACCATCACCGTGGCAGACATCCTACCGACCAATAACCTGCCTCAGTACCACATGGAAGCTCCTGTCAGGCATCATAGCGGCTAAGATGAACAAGCACATGGGTCAATACATGAGCGGGGCGCAGAAAGGGGCAAGAATACCTGAGGAGTGAAACCCCAGCTACTGGTAGACAGAGCAGCCTGACCAACCTGTGCACTGCTGATTTGACTGTATGAAAGTCTGTGACTCACAGCTGGATCCTGGGATCCCAAAGCTCTACAAGATCAACAGGAGCCTCAGAGGCTTCGTCAGGAACTCAGTGGGAATGTGAAACCATCAAGTGTTGTTCCAGGGAGAAGCTCTGTCCCCATTATCAACACCTACGCCCGTGACCACACACCCTGCTGGGATAATAAGCTGGCCAAAGGAGGAGATGCTGACATATAGACTGTCACAGGTCTGGGTCATTTCATTTTCAGTTCTTTGTGATTTTTTGTAGCACGTCGAGTTCATTTGTGATTTCTTTCTATGGTTCCTGGGTTTTGCTCCCTTGGCCCTCGTGTTTCTCTGCGCCCCCTCTGCTCTGTGTTTAGTCTTCTCTGCCCGGGTTCCCTCTCTGTAAAGTCCGTGTTTCTGTAAAGTCTGTGTCTCCGCATGTGTGAGTTTCCTGTTTTATTCTGAAGGTCTCTGTCTCATGTGAGTGTCCTCAGCCCTACGTCTGTCTCGTCAGCCCTGATTCCTCCCAGGTGTGTTTCCTCCTGTCTCCCATCCCATGATTACTCCTGTGAGTATTTAAGCCCTGTGTTCTCCCTGATTCAGTCTCTCAGATCTTTCCAGTTGTCAGTAGATTTGCTGACTCTTATATCCCACATCAGTGTTTTAAAATATTACAGCTGTTATGACTTCTGCTTACTGACACTGAGCAGGATGAACGTTCGTCATTGATCAGGAACCTACACAAGTTAAACGAAGCTGCGATACCTTTGTCTAGGTCTTTGATGGAGATCTGGAAGTGCTGTGAGGGTGACTGATTCTCGCCATCCAGCAGATGGAAGACAAAGAAATCCTGACTTTGAGCAGCCCGACGGCCCGTGTTTACATAACGTAGAAGGTTCATGTCGACCATTTCTTGGGTGCAGTTCTTCCCAGCAGCCAGTGTGACCCAGCCCTGACTTTCCTGAGATCAGATGAGACATAGTTAGGAACACAGCAGCTCCCTCCTTGGTAAGGGAGTAATGGTCGATACCCTTAAGTCTTAAGACACAGATGTAAAGAAACAACATGGACTTAAAGGAAAAGAATAAAAGTGCAAAAACAGAGTTGGCAAAAGCAGCTGTTAAATTAAAACGTGCTGCACGTGGACGGTGCTGTACATCAGAGGCTCTCCATGTTCAAGTTGCTTCAGACTTATTATGCAAAAATGTAACATTTAATATCTTCTTCCACCAAACAAACTGATATATTGTATATATAATAAAACGATGCTGCACTAACTTTAAGCTGAAGCAGTCCTTGGGTTGGAACACTTTCAAAAATGTACATGAGCTCTGAAGGAGGGGTATCACGGTCCTGTGCGAACAGTGACGCGCTGGATATCAGTCTGCTTTCAGCTGGCTCCACGTCCAGTCCGGCGTTCCTGAAGGACACAAGCTCGGTACAACGTTCACTTTGTTTTTCACCATCGATCTGCACCGACTTTAAACGGGGAAATGTTGGTCCTACCTGATAAGCTGGGGCTTCTCGTCGTTCACCTGCAGCACTTTAACCGTCACCTGTTTCAGGACTTGGTGCCGTCCGTCAGTCAGCTGGATGGTGAAGCTATCCTCCACGCTCTCAGAGTCGTCGTGCACGTACGCCACACCCACAGCTGTTGGACAGTGACGAGCACTTTGTTTTGACTCAGTGAAAGACGTTCACTTATTTAAATTATTCATTTTTAATTAAATGTGCACATTAGTGGGTTTTTGTATTCGGTAACATGAGAGTTTATTTAATTTAAATATCTTTCACGTAGTTTTAACTTTTGTTCAGATTTAAAGGTTCCAGATTTTCAAGTCTTGGATCTTTTTGTAACTTGGCCAATATTAATATTCCTATTTACCCTCCACTCATCGCTGCATCAAACTAATAAAACTATTATTGTTTGTTTGAATGCACAACAGAAAGACCACATGCTGATGTGCAGATATGGCTTGTTTGGATCATCTGTAGTAATTTTAAACATTTATAAACTATTTCAGTCATAACTGAAGCTTTAACATGTAAAACATACCATTTATAAGATCCTCCATAGTAAAGGCAACCACAGGAAGCTGATGCTGGGCCTCTCGTTTCTCTCGCTCTCCGCTGCTGTGGGCGATGATGCTGCCGTGTCGAGGGGGTGTGGCCACGCTAAAGAGCAACACGTTCTTGGGGATGTCCAGATCCGTCGCATGCAAGACGGACGAGTCGAGCTGCTTCCTTTGTCCTTCTTGTACCTTTACATAAACGGACGTAATGACCTTGTTTAACGAACAGTCATGAGTATTATGATCAATAAGAGTTGATAAAAGCTTACTGTGATGTTGTGAGCCACCAGCTCTGGCACTTCATCATTTGTGGGGTTTATAATGATGTAGAAAGAGACGTGGGCGGAGCTGTGTTTGCCGTCTGATACACAGAGCATCAGGTGGTCAGCTGTTGGCTCCACCCCCTGATGTCTGGACTGCACATAGTTGACATGACCCTCAGTGATGTCTTTGTATGAAAAAGAAGCTGAGAGAACGAGGTTGAAATAAACATCAAACAGTCCTCGTTGAGTCTGTGGTCACACGCAGCGAGACGCTCACCTGTGCTCACTCCTGTGTTGCTTTTCTCAAATCCAGGACTGGGGAGGACATTTTCAATGTAGCCAAACTGAGGGGGGGAGGTCAGGCTGATGACCAGCTCGTCCAGCACCGTGTCCACGTCGGAGGCTTTCAGGTGAGCCACAGTAATCGGGGCCGTCCCACCTTCATTCACTTTGAAGATGTCTGCTACAAACAAGCAAACAGGGCATCGATATCAACACAGTACATTTTGCTTTTTCCCCAAGTGACTAAAGGTGAGACGCTCACGTGTTTCTAGTGTAGGTGGTTGGCTGTCAACAGGAAACACAGTGATGTGCAGGTCGTACACGGGTAGAGTGTGCCTCAGGTGAGCGGTGCTGCTGGTCCTGACAGGACTCCCTCCACTGCAGCATAAAGCCAGCGTCTCCGCCTCTCCATCAGAAATGACAAAGGTGACGGTGTCATGGCGAGGAGCGAGTCCAATCTCTACTTCTGAAACCACAAACGTAATAAGAACCGTTAGAGAAGCAGCTGCGTCTCTATCACACCTCAGTAATATTTATATCATGTGAGCTGATAATTTGACAGCTTGGTGGGAGACCACAGACGGGAATCAGTCGAGGGTGACGCAGTGTTTTCTGTTTCCACGGAGACTCTGGATTATTCTTTGTTAGTGATAGTTTCTGGTTTCCTGTTCTGTGTCCATGTCTCAGTCTGCATGCTTCCTGTTATAATAGCCCCTGATGTGAGCAGACCTGGGGATGCCACCCAGAGTTTTTACATTATTCATGTTGATTTTGATGTTACTGATCTTTTCTAGTCTTTTGGTTTCTTTGTTTGATTTCTGCTTTCTGCTGTATCCCCTCGTCAAGTCCGCGTCTCCGTTATGTTTCCTGTTTTACTTTCTGTGTCTCAGGTTATTGTATCAGGTTTTGCTTCCCCTGTCTCGTTTGCCCTGATTTGCTGTATATTTAAGCCCTGTGTTATCTCTGTGTTGTGATGTCCACACTGTGTGTTCTGTCTGCTTAGTTTGTTTGTATTCTCAGTTTTGCCACTTTGAGCCGTGTCTTTCTTTGCCGTAATACTAACAATAAATCTAAGTTTACTTTCCGCCTCCCTGTCTGCACGTCGGGTCCTCCTCACCACCATGATCTACATAATATCCTTCTGAGAAAGGAAAAAGTCTCTTTCAGTTGAACTTTTTTGTGATTTCTGCCTCTTTGGAGGCCACATGAAACATCATTGTTTTAGCAGGTAGCTCACATAGGTCAAAAGACACAGACAGGGAACATAAACTAACAGTCTGGGTTTCAGGAGGATGTCGTCAAAAGATTTTGAAAATCTGAAGAAATTTGTGATCCAAAGACAAGACCAAAAATCAGCTCTGATCAATGCTGAAACAAACATGACAAATAAGAGCTTTGGACTGTCCTCGATATGAGAACAACAAGAGTTCAGCACCAGGTCGCCAGATGTGCATCAACTGCTGCTACAAGAGAAGATTCATTTCTTTCATTGAATTAAATACATTTCTCATATTTTCAATGTGTTTAATATATTTGTGTGTGTGTTTGTCTGATTTACAAATCATTGCAATATTTTACTTATGTCTTATACAGCGTCCCAGCTTTTTCAGAGTTGGGGCTTTCCATCATTATGACAGTGTTTGAGAGGCAGGTGACTCGGATGACACTAGACGACGTGCGCTCTACTGAAATCGATTTCCAGACTGTGAGTACCGATGCTGACAGGCACATCCTGAGGTTGTTTGTTACCCATGACTGTGGTTTCTAAAAGGAGCAGAATGAGACGAGGTCATATCCAATCAGAGAAAATGTTGATGTTACCAAGCGTTCAATGAGAGAAACTGGTCTTAAAATATGTTTGTAAGACCATCAGTCACATAAAATTCCTGATGTTACTGTTAGCATCCACCCAACAGCATCAGCCATCACACTAATGACATATAATAGGTATACGACTTTCTCTGTTTGCACCTGTGTGTTTATATGTGACGATCCCTGCAGTGATGTCTGCCTGGATGAAGCGGTCCACCACTGCACCTTCTCTCAGCACCACACCGTGAAGCGGCTGCTGCACAATTAGGAAGGACAGGCTGCTGTTGTCGCTGTCTCTATCAGTGGCGTAGATGTACTCTGTGGTCAGGACTACTTCCTGCCCCTCTGCACAGCTGAGACCTGCTTTCAAACCTGCGCCGACTACTGGGACCTCATCATTGATGGGCTTCACCTGGGAATGGACAAAGAGGGTGAAGCAAGTGAAAATTCTCTGTTTTCTGTTGGATGTTGGGCATTTCTGTAATTACCATCACTTGCAAGACAAAAATGACTGAGCTGGTCCCGTCTGTTGCAGTGAATTCAATGTTGTCCTGTGTGGTTTCTGAGCTGTCATGGCTGTACCTGTGTGACCGATAAACACAGATATGACTTGGAATGTGTCATCTTAACATGGAATCAGATGTTTAAAGAAATCACCTACAGAGAGGGTGAAGAGGACGGTGACTGAGGAAGAACAACAGTAAAAGAAGAAGCGAGCGAGAGTGAAGACAGTTTAAGATCCTGAAAATGAACCGATGAGTCAACAGCAAGTACAAATACTGCTATTATACAACATTGATTGTGTTTGTTGAGGAAATGATGGAACTTTTCATTAATCATGCAGAGTCCTGAGCACCAGCACCTTAAAATGACACCTTGTGCTCACAGAGGCTCCTGTTGTCACTATCCAGCAGCA